ATGTGGTCTATCTTGGAGAACGTTCCATGTACGCTTGAGAAGAATGTGTATTTAGCTTTTTGTGGATGAAGTGTCCTGTATATATCTACTAAGTCCCTTTCTTCCATTGTTTCCCTCAGATGAAGTATGTCCTTGCTAAGCTTGAGTCTGGTTGATCTATCAAGAGGTGACAAAGCGGTGTTGAAGTCTCCCACTAGTATTGTGTTGCTATCGATGTCTTTTTCCAAATCTATGCTAACAGGTTTTAAGGAGGACATTGCCAGCAATACAATAGCAGTCGGAGACTTCAACATCACCTTATCACCTCTGGATAGATCAACAAGAACAAAACTCAGCAAGGAAACACTGGCATTGAAGGAAGAAACAGAAGAGAGAGGGCTAACAGACATATACAGGGCTTTACACCTCAAAAAGAAAGAATACTCATTCTTTTCCAGTGCACACGGAACATTCTCTAAAATAGACCATGTGCTGGGTCACAAAACATACCTCGGTAGAATCATGAAGATAGAAATTGTATCAAATATCTTTTTCAGACCATGATGCGCTGAAGATAGAAGCAAATCACACACAGACTCAGAGAACCAAATCAAACATCTGGAAATTAAACAACTCAATGTTGAACAATGAGTGGGTCAGGAAGGAAGTCAAGGAAGAAATCAGAAGATACCTGAAAACAAATGAGAATGAAGACACGAGTTACCAGAACCTATGGGACACAGCAAAAGCTGTGTTAAGAGGGAAATTTATAGCCTTACAAGCATTCCTCAGGAAGTAAGAAAGGGCCTACATAGATAACTTGACTTCACAGCTCAAGATCTTAGAAAAAGACCAACAAAAGGAACCCATATCTCACTGAAGGAAAGAAATAATAAAACTTAGAGCAGAAATTAACAACATGAAAACCCACAAAACAATCTGAAAGGTCAATGAAACCAAGAGCTGGTTCTTTGAGAAAATAAACAAGATTGATAAACTACTAGCAAGACTCACAAAGAAAGAGAAAGAGAGAACCCTAATAAACCGAATCAGAAATGAAAAAGGGGACATCACAACAGAAACCAATGAAATTCAACAGATTATCAGAGACTACTTTGAGAATCTGTATGCCCCAAAACAAGAGAACCTAGAAGAAATGGATAAATTCCTGGATTCCTACAATCTCCCAAGACTGAGCCAAGAAGACTTGAAATACCTGAATAGACCCATTCAGATCAAGGAAATTGAAACCGTAATTAAAAGTCTTCCCCCCAAACAAAAGCCCAGCCCAGATGAATTCACTAGCGAATTCTTACAAACATTTAAAGAAGACCTGTTGCCAGTTCTCCTCAAGTTTTCCAGGAAATTGAAAATACAGGAAATCTCCCAAAGAGTTTCTCTGAGGCACATAGCTCCCTAATACCAAAAGCAAACAAAGACACCACTAACAAAGGAAATTACAGGCCAATATCTCTGATAAACATGGATGCAGATCCTCAACAAAATATTAGCAAATAGATCCAACAACTCATCAAAGAGATCATACACCACGACCAAGTGAAATTCATCCCAGGGATGCAAGGATGGTTTCACAATCAGTAATCAATCAACATAATCCATCATATCAACAAAAGTAAAGATTAAAACCATATGATCATATCAATAGATGCAGAGGAAGCATTTGACAAAATCCAACACCTGTTTATGATGAAAACTCTCATGAAAATGGGCTTAGAAGGAACTTTTCTCAAGATAGTCAAAGTCATCTATGACAAACCTATGGCAAGCATTATCCTCAATGGGGAAAAACTAAGGGCCTTCCCTCTAAGATCAGGGACAAGACAAGGATGCTCACTCTCACCACTTCTGTTCAATATAGTATTGGAAGTATTTGCAATAGCAGTTAGGTAAGAAAAAGATATTAAGGGCATCCAGATAGGAAAGGAAGAAATCAAGCTCTCACTATTCATAGATGATATGATGCTATATTCAGAGAATCCTAAAGCCTTTACCAAGAAACTCGTAGAAACAATAGACTCGTACAGTAAAGTCGCAGGTTATAAAATCAATACCCAAAAAATCCCTGGCTTTCCTATATGCAAATAATGAGACAGAAGAAAGAGACATAAAGAAAGCAAGTTCACTACTGTGCCCCAGAAAATCAAGTACCTCGGAATCAACCTAACTAAGGAGGTAAAGGACCTCTACAAAGAAAACCACAAAATGCTACTCCATGAAATAAAAGAGGATATGAGGAAATGGAAACATATTCCCTGCTCATGGACAGGTATAATTAACACTGTCAAAATGGCTATACTCCCCAAGGCACTATACAGATTCAATGTGATCCCTATAAGGATACCCATGAAATTCTTCAAAGAAATGGATCAAGCACTCCTAAACTTCATTTGGAAGAACAAACACTCACAGATAGCTAAAGCAATTCTAGGGAAAAAGATGATGGGAGGCATCACCGTCCCCAACATCAAACTCTACTACAAAGTGGTAACAATTAAAACAGCATGGTACTGGAACAAAGGCAGAGCCACAGACCAATGGAACAGGGTGAAATATCCCTACACACAACCGCAAATGTATGAACATCTACTCTTTGATAAGGGAGCAAGAAATGTGAAGTGGAGCAAGGAAAGCCTCTTCAACAAATGGTGCTGGGATAACTGGACAACCACATGCAAAAAAATGAGCTTAGACCTCAACTTAACACCATGCACAAAAGTCAGATCAAAATGGATTAAAGACCTCAACATCAGACCAGAATCCATAAGGTACTTTGAAGACAAAGTCGGCAAAACCCTCTACGATATTGAAGCTAATGATATCTTCAAAGATGACATGCCATTGATCAACCAAGTGGAAACAGAGATAAACAAATGGGGCTATTTTAAACTAAGAAGCTTCTGCAGTGCAAAATATACAGTTACCAAAATATAAAGACAATCTACAGAATGGGAAAGGATATTGACCCCAAACCCATCCAATAAGGGGTTGATATCAAGAATATACAAAGCACTGGTTGAACTCCACAAGAAGAAAACATCCAACCCCATCAAAAAATGAGGTGACAAACTGAACAGAAACTTTCTCAAAGAAGAAATCCAAATGGCTAAAAGGCACATGAGAAAATGCTCCACAGCATTAATCATCAGGGAGATGCAGATCAAAACCACAGTGAGATACAATTTCACACCATAGAGACTGGCCCACATCCAAAAGAACAAAAGCAACTGGTGTTGCCGTTGATGTGCCGAGAAACAAACCCTCCTTCCTACCGATGGAAATGCTGACTGGTTCAGCCCTTTTGGAAAACAATATGGACGATTCTCAAAAAATTAGAAATTGAGCTCCCATCTGACCCAGCAATACCACTCCTGGGAATATATCCCGAAGAGGCAAAAAAGTATAGTCGAAATGACATCTGCATTAGTATGTTCATTGGTGCACTGTTCAAAGTAGACAAAATCTGGAAAAAAACCCGAGTGCCGGAGAACAGATGACTGGTTAAAGAAACTTTGGTACATCTACACAATGGAATACTACGCAGCAGTTAGAAAGGATGAAGTCATGAAATTTGCAAACAAGTGGTTCTACATGGAAAGCATCATGCTAAGTGAACTGAGTCAGAAAGAAAGGGACAGACATAGACTTATTTTAAAACTTTTAAATAATGAGAGATTATTTTTCTATTATTTAAAAAGATTACTGGTTTGAATTAAATTAATCTTATAGCACACCGGGTAGGGCGTTCACCTTACAAGCGGCCAACATGGCCGACCCGAGTTGGATTCCTGCGCCCCTCTCGGAGAGCCCGGCAAGCTACCGAGAGTATTCGATCTGCCAGACACAGTAACAACAAAGTCTCCAATGGAGACGTTACTGGGCCCGCTCGAGCAAATCGATGATCAACGGGAGGGCCTTTACCTTAGTTAACCACAAATCCCCTGAAGGATAGTGCCACACCTCATTGTATGCATACAATAAATTAGAAAGTTTTAATGAAACAAAAATGAAAAAAATTGCCCTTTTCACTTTCCCATTTTTATGTGCATATCTCCACAGAAAGAGAAGTTTCTCTCCAATCTCTATTTTACCTAGTCTCGACATTTTCCCTAGATTAGGTAAGAACATTTTTTTTTTTTGATAATCAAAGCTCTGCCATCGGACTGACACTATTTTCATTCACTGTCATTGTCACTGTCATCACTGTCATCCTGTTGTTCATCGATTTATTCAAGCGAGTGCCAGTAACATCTCCATCCCAGCCCTGGGATTTTAGCAGCCTCTCCTTATTCCTCTTTACCAATGAAACTGCCATATTGGAGGGTATTTCTGGGTCAGGAAAATGAGACCCATTATTGTTACTGTTTTTGGTACATCGAATATGCCATAAGGAGCGTGCCAGGCTCTGCTGTGCAGGCAGAATATTCTCAGTAGCTTGCCAGGCTCCCCGAGAGGTATGTAACTATATTACATATAACATATCACTGGAGCAATAGCACAGTGGTAGGGTGTTTGCCTTGCATATAGCCGGCCCGGTTGAGCCAGGTTCAATTCCTCCGCCCCTCTCAGAGAGCCCGGCAAGCTACCAAGAGTATCTTGCCTGCACAGCAAAGCCTGGCAAGCTACCTGTGACGTATTCAATATGCCAAACACAGTAACAGCAAGTCTCACAATGAAGATGTTACTGGGTCCGCTCGAGCAAATCAATGAACAACAGGAGGACAATGCTACAGTGCTTGAGCAAATATTACGATATATGTTTTAAAGCAACTATATACAGTAAGTCTTCTTAATAGACAAAAATTTCATAAAAGAAATACTTTCTGAATTTATATCAATAATCTAAATTTTACAATTTTAAGGGATTTTTGAACTTCCAGAAGTATTAAAAAACCAACACAAAAATCCACATCAAATGGTATATTTATATGAGAGTCTGTAGAAAGAAGTGATTATGCCTTTAAAGCCACAGCAACTGAACTTCATATTGAAAGGATCCTTACCTGACAATGTAAAGCTAACGAGTTTCCGAGGATGTTGATTTCCTGAAGCACCTCCTTCCATGCCTTCTGCTCCCATCTGCAGAGAAAAAAAAAAAAAAAAGAAAAAGAAAAAAAACACCTGAACTTTCAAAGGAATATAAAGCTACTTGACATTACCAAGGAGATATATATTTTGAAATATGATGACTTCTATTTTGTTTTTGTTTGGGGGCCACACCCAGCAGTGCTCAGGGCTTATCTAGCAGGCTTGGGGATCAAATGGGGTGCTGGGTATTAAAACAAGGTTAGCTGGGTGTAAGGCAAGCTCCCTACCCATATCACTCTGTCCCCATATGATGGCATTCTAGCACGTAATATCTTTTCATAGACTCAAATCTTGAAATTGAGACACAAATGCATATACACCAGAGAATGGACCATACCTAATTATGTTTAGTCCAAAACAAAAGCAGCTTTCTAAGAGAAGAAAGATAGCTTTTCTGAGACAGGAAATTTATGTCTTCTGTATTGTTGATGAGAATACAGTTGTGGGGCTGGAGCAATAGTACAGCGGGTAGGGTGTTGCCTTGCACACAACCGACCCAGGTTTGATCCCCAGCATCCCATATGGTCCCCCTGCACCACCAGGAGTAATTCCTGAGCGCAAAGTCAGGAGTAACCCCTGTACATCACCAGGTGTGATCCAAAAAGAAAAAAAAAAGAACACAGTTAAGGCACCAGAGAAATAGTACAGTGAGCAAGACATTTGCCTTACACACGGTTGACCCAGGTTTGATACCTGGAATCCCATATGACCCCCCAACAATGTCAGGAGTAATTCCTGAGCACACGAGAATAATGCCTGAAAACCACTGTGTGTGACCCAAAAAGCCAGAAACAATAGAGAGAGAGAGAGAGAGAGAGAGAGAGAGAGAGAGGAGACGGAGACAGAGACAGAGACAGAGACAGAGACAGAGAGAGAATACAGTTGATCGCCAGGAATACAGGTCAAAGGGCCGGAGTTTGTGCATGTGGAAACCTCAGGTTCAGTTGCCAGAACTGAATATCTAGTCGCAAGCTTAGATAATTGGGGATGGGCCCCAAAACAGTAGAAAACAAAAAGGAAATTTTGACTTTTAGTAGTTACATTACTTTTACTATATTAGAACACTCCCTTGTGTTAAAAATCAAACGTCAAATATCTACGAGCCTATCAGAAAAATCAGGACTAAATTAAAGTCTGATTTATAACAGACACGTACATATGTATATAGGTAAATCCTCGTTTGCCAAGTATTTCCTAGTGACCATGAGGGTATCGCATTGCCCTTGAAAGTTCCTGTTTATTGTGCCATAAGTACATGACACATGCTTTTATAGTTAGCAATAATAATGTTTTACAAGGATATTGTACTTATTAAGTAATGCAAAGATTTTCAAAAAAAATCTTTCAGGGAAGTGACAGAGATATAGTTCAACATATTGGAGCATATGCTTAATTCCCAGCTCTGCAAGGTTCCCCAAGCACCACTGGCAATGACTCAAGTTCCGAGCCAGAAATGTTCTCTGAGCACCATTAGGTGTGACCCAAAATAATAAAAATTTTAAAAATTCCTTCAATATAAGTGACATATAACTTGTAATTATAGATCAGTAATAGTCCATTTTACAGATTTTGGCTTTTTTCTATTTTGTGTGTTTATTTCTCTCTTCACAGTACATTAGAATAACGGTAAGTGGTTTACTGAAACAGAAGTCTGCAGTACTATGAAAAATAGAATTGAAGCCAATGTATTTTGAATAGGAAATTGAAGCCATACTTTAATTCTAAAGCCTAAATTAAGTCCTTTCATCTTTGCAGTATTCCCCATATATGCCTTTGAAATCCACACATAAGAAGAGAATCTAAGCAAAATTAGGGAATTTCAAAATAAATTCCATTTAGTTTTTGAAATATAAAATTTATACTTCCTCCCCTACTTCCTATATCATGGTCAAGCCTATTTTGTTTCATGCCTAATTGCTTCCTGATTGTTTCCTCAGTTTGTTCCATCCATTGCACCAACCTCTGGATGACAGTGTACTGACACTCAGCAAGTATATACATGTCATTATATCCCTCTGACACATCATCCCCAGATTAACTAGAGCAGAAACAGCAACAAACCAGAAATGTCTTGTCCTGCTTTCTCCATACATACCATTGAACTATATAGTGTTTACATTAAAGGTAATGTTGACTGAAAATACAACAGGCACTAAGCATCCTTCCCTTCCTATATCTTGGGCACAGTCAGGTGTCTGACCTGCCATACCTTACCTTCAAATGGGTAGGCCAATGAGATGTGATGTCTCTTACTGCTGTGAGCTATTTCTACCAAGTGAGTTAAATGAGACTTATAACTTCTTTGTTGAAAATTTACTTAACAGATAAGAAATAAAGGCCACAGAGACAGTATAGAAATTAAGGCGCTTGCCTTGCATGTGGCTGAACCTAGCTGGATCCCTAGCATTGCATATGGGCCTCCAGGTATCACCAGGAGTTGACTCTGAGCATGAAGCCAGGAATAACCAATCAGAACTTGCAGATGTGGAACAGAAAACAAAACAAATATAAAATAATAGAAACAAAATAACTGTAAATTCTCATTTTTTAAAATGTAAAAAATGACAAAAAGTGACAAAAAGTCATTATAAAATAATTCTTACAGGGGGCTGGAGCAATAGCACAGCGGATAGGGCATTTGTCTTGCACGCGGCCGACCTGGTTTTGACTCTCAGCATCCAATATGGTCCCCTGGGTACTGCTAGGAGTAACTACTGAGTGCAGAGCCAGGAGTAACCCCTGTGCATCACTGGTTGTGACCCAAAAAAAAGAAAACAAAAACAAACAAACACTGCCCTCCTGTTGTTCATCGATTTTGCTCGAGCGGGCCCAGTAACGTCTCCATTTTGAAACTTGTTGTTACTGTGTTTGGCATATTGAATACAACACGGGTGGGTAGCTTGCCAGGCTTTGCCCTGCGGGTGAGATACTCTTGGTAGCTTGCCGGGCTCTCTGAGAGGGGCAGAGGAATCGAACCCAGCTTGGCCGGGCTGGCTGCGCACAAGGCAAACGCCCTACCGCTGTGTGACCCCCCGCAAAAAAAAATAATAATAATAATTCTTACAAAATTCAGTGTCCTTCCTTACAATTGTGACATTTGAAAAATACCCAATGAATTCAATTCTGTCATTCATTACAATAAATTTAAAAAGTATCAGACATTACTACTAGATATAGGGGCAGCAATGATAATAAAAACATCTGTACTCAGTGTTTAGACAGAGATTTTAAAATAAACTCACTCCATAGATTCATTCCAGGAAAACCCAGAACAACACTGTCAACCAAAAGTTGAAACAATACATGGTAGTGAGTGATCACAGCCTAAATCTGTCCCTGAAGCTGAAGGGATTTCCTGTTCCAAGTGTCCGAAACACAAATCACTGTGTACTCGGATGAATGACAATGACGTCAAAGTACAAATGAAAGGGGAGACAATTTTTTTTTACCCCTGATTTATTGCAAAAGGATATGTGAGAAAGGAGAACATATAATTAAGATGGCAGCCCATTTCCTTCCTAAGAAAGTTTCTAGGCTACTTCTTTCAGTTGCATTCTTTGCATTTGATTGTGGAATAATTACTTACACTAACTGAGATTTGTAACTATCAATGTTGTTAATCTATCAAAAACAATTTAAATAAATCTCATACACCTTGATGACTATCAGGCTTTTATAGAAACACAGTGCTTAACTCCAGAATCCGAAATCCATCTGGCACAGTCTTTCAAGTTTGGATACAAACGAAACATCTAAAGACTGGTCAGAAAGCCACTGAACCCCATACCAGGCTGTTTCACTCACGGCAGGTTTCAGAGGAAGGCGGGTGAGAGTTCTCCCTGCCCCAAGGGACCCAGCCCCGGCAGCTGAAAACCTCCAGAACCCAACCTCCACCATGCTCAAGGCCACTCTCCACATGCTCGAACCGAGCCTCACCCACCAGTGAACCTATTCTTGGACCACATGGCCTTGAAAGAAGCTATTCTTGGACCACATGGCCACATCATAGGACACACCCTAACCATTCTCCAAGAGTACCACACCACATCTGATGGGGTTCAAACAGTAGGCAACCAGTCATAGAGGGAAATACATATATATGTATATATATATACACACACACATATACACACATATATATATTTACAGATTTATATACGAAAGTTCACACACACACATATGAAAGTTTACAAGGCTCAACCTTTAACAACATGTTAGTGATATCTTATAGAAGTTTTTAATAGCCCCTGCCAAAATAGAACAATCTTCATACTCTTACCTCTATGGATACTTTTTGTAGCATTTTCAGCAGTTTTTCATAATAAACAATACAAAATATATTATTTTGGTTCTGCTTTGGGACAAGGATTGGGGTTTGGGATGGAAACATCCCAAATATGGTGAGAAGGTGTAATGGTGATGGGATTGGTATTTGAATATTAAATGTAATCAAATATCGTGAACTACCTTATAAAATTTAAAAATTAAAAAAAAAAAGATTGGTCAGAAGTTTGTTGACCACCAATCACTCAGTCTATAAACCAAAATATTCTATTCTGAGTGACATAGTTGTATCAATGAAGCTTTTAAAATGCTTTGCAGCCTATCTAGTTGGAGCCAGAGCGATAATACAATAAGGAGGGTTTTCGCATGCAGTCAATATCAGATTCAATTCCCAGCATCCCACATAGTCCCCCAAGTCCACCAGGAATAACTCCTGAGTGAAGAGCCAAGAATAGTCCCTGAACACTGCAGGGTGTGACACCAAAACCAAACCAAACCAACAACAAAAAAAAACCCTTATCTGAAGCAAATAAATTATCTCCAAAATAATTGTTTTTACAGCATTATCTCAATGCAAAATAAATGAAATGAGATTAATGTTGACCAAGCTATATATAAACTTCCACAGTTGGACATTGAAATCGCTCAAGTTTCATAAATTTGGGAAACTTGTTTGAAAATAATCTTTTTCTTAGAGTCAATTTTTCAAAAGTTTTATTATAAACAACTCCATATTTCTTGTTTTCTTCTTAGTATATTAACTATACATACTATAGTATAAGATGTGGCATATTTTTCAGTCAATACTTGCATTCTCCTTGTTATTAAAAAATCTTATATATAAGTAGGTTATTCTTATACATTCTATAGTTTATTCTAGTGGGAAATAAAATATAAACAACTTAGATGTTGAAGATTTTGCCTATATTGTTCTTTCTTCCTGAAACACCCTTCCTTCCTCTTTTTCACTTTTCACCTATGTAATACCCAATCATCCTTCAGACCGTTCTCCAAACAGATCTTTTTTTAGGGAGTCTCCCAAGACTGATAAGACTAAATCCTGTTTAGAATAAACCCTAGTTGTATGTTGTCTCATTGCTCCACTTCATTCCCCACCCAAAAAATTATCACATAATTAAATATAATTCCATTAACTTAATGTCTACTTCCCCCCAGACAGACCAATGACAGCAAGGATTCTCTCTCTCTCTCTCTCTCTCTCTCTCTCTCTCTCTCTCTCTCTCTCTCTCTCTCTCTAGTAGGGTGTGGGAAGGCCATAACTGGCTGTACCCAGGAGTTACTCCTGGTTCTGCACTCAAGAATCACTCCTGCCGGTCCTCGGGGAACTACACAGGATTCCAGGCATGGAACTTGGATCAGCCACATGCAAGGCAAGTGCCCTACCTGCTGCACTATCTCTTTGGCCTCAGCAAGGACTGTCTTCCTGCTTAATTTAACTCAGATAATGCCGGTCCTCGGGGAACTACACAGGATGCCAGGCATGGAACTTGGATCAGCCACATGCAAGGCAAGTGCCCTACCTGCTGCACTATCTCTTTGGCCTCAGCAAGGACTGTCTTCCTGCTTAATTTAACTCAGATAATGCCTTCAATGCAGGGGAATTAGCTGATAGTCAATGAATATGTACTTGAATGTATAAATAAAAAGGAAAAATGGCTTGAAACAGTATTGATGGGTCTGAAATTTTTCAAAATTGCATCTGCACTTATTTTTCTGAATTCAGGGAGTCAACCTGGCCAGTTATTTTCCCAAAATGCACGTATTCATAAATGTGCACACACAACAATGTTATGAAGATTCTACATAGAAGGAGCCAATGTCCATGCTTCTTGCTTTCATGACCTGATTTTCACTTAAAAAAATGAAAATGTTTTATATGCTTTAGATTCTATGAATCTGCTGAAACCATCTAAATCCAACCACTCATGAATGGGATACTCTAGAATTAGACTCTAGAATTAGACAACTGAGTGAAAGAGGTAACAATGTTATGAAAGTTATTCATAGGGAAATTCAATAAAAACAGCCTCCTCCAGCATTAAATGAGTATCTTCCCTGAAAGGAGAACCTGGTGAAGTGGTCAGTCTAGTGGGCATCTAGTGGGCATTGCTATGTAAGTGTGACTTTGGGTACTATATCCCAGCTCAGAGCAAGAGTGATTTATACTACTACATCCAACAAAAATAGCATATACATGTTCTCCATCTCATACTGTACTGGGGGTAAAATCACCTTAAGTTATAAGTAGGTGGAATGACATACTTCAAGTTGTTATTTTTCTGTTTTACTCACTGAATTAGTGTAGACTAGTGTCAAGTAAGGGCCGGAGCGATAGCATAGCGGGTAGGGCGTTTGCCTTGCATGTAGCTGACCTGGGATCGATTCCTCCACCCCTCTTGGAGAGCCCGGCAAGCAACCGAATATTCAACCGAGTATTCTGCCTGTACAGCAAAGCTTGGCAAGCTAACTGTGACATATTTGATATGCCAAAAACAGTAACAAGAGGTCTTACAATGGAGACGTTACTGGTGCCCACTCACGCAAATCAATGAACAACGGGAGGACAGTGCTACAGAGCTAAAGTTAAGTAAGATAAAATGTTGAGGGGCCAGAGTGATTGTACAGAGGCTAGGGTGTTTGTCTTGCATGAGGCCGACCTGAATTTAATCCCTGGCACCCCTTATGTTCCCCTGTGCCTACCAGGAGTGATCCTTGAGCACAGAACCAGGAGTGAGCCCTGAGCACTGCCAGGTGTGGACCAAAAACAAGAACAAAAACAAAAAAAGTTGATTCCTATTAACCAAATCACCCAGCCTGAATTTTAAAAATACCCTAAAAGTACCCTCATTAATTTGCCTCAAAGTGGGTTTTCCTGAATTCAGGCTGGGTGATTTAGTTAATAGGAATCAACTTTTTTTGCTTTTGTTTTTGTTTCTGAGCCACACCTGGCAGTGCTCAGGGCTCATTCTTGGTTCTGTGCTCAAGGATCACTCCTGGTAGGCACAGGGGAACATAAGGGGTGCCAAGGATTAAATTCAGGTCAGCCTCATGCAAGACAAACACCCTAGCCTCTGTACAATCACTCTGGCCCCTCAACATTACATCTTAACTTTAGCTCTTGTAGGGCTGGAGTAATAGCATAGCGGTAGGGTGTTTGCCTTGTGCGTGGTCGGCATGGCCGAGCAAGTTTCAATTCCTCCGCCTCTCTCGGAGAACCCAGCAAGCTACTGAGAGTATCTCGCCCACATAGCAAAGCCTGGCAAGCTCCCCATGACGTATTCGATATGCCAAACACAGTAACAAGAAATCTCACAATGGAGAGGTTACTGGACCCGCTTGAGCAAATTGATGAACAATGGGAGGACAGTGCTACAGAATTACTATAAATTTAATCATATTTTCACACTAGTTGGATTCAGATATGCAGATTTGTAAGTTATTGCCTCCCCTAAAACTGAACCCCTATTGCATGTGTTTCCTTTATCATTGTTTCTATATCTCTGTCAGAGGCACAAAGATGAAAACCCAATCAATGCTACAGATGTGTTAGAAAGTGAGAATGAGGGGCACTCACCATCACAGCAGGGTTCTTCACCGTGATGCAGGGTGTTGTGGCTCGCAGAGCTCCACTAATGCCGTGATAGTATTTAAAACAGATTTTTATTTCAGCTGTAAATTGGAGAAGAACAAGAGTTTAAATACTAAAACATGTCATTTACAAAGCTCCTGATGAAATCTACCACCCATCTCTTAGAAATGCAGGCCTTTGAATGATCCCTTCTTTGAAATAGGAGACAACAGACCATACCAATTCCTGATCAATATGATATGCTTCTTTGAAGCTTTCTAAGAATATCTCAAATATATTAGAAAGGCAGTGTGCAAAAACAACACATAAATTATATATGATGTGTTGAGGAGAGTAAGATTAGCTATTATTTATTGAGGTCATCTATGAAAAACAGACACAATTTCTCTACCCATGCTGTTGTTTCCGGTAATTTATGTTATGAGAAACATAAATTCTTGTTCTCCTATTAAAGATTTAGTGAAGTGCTGGAGAGCTAGTAGAAGGGGTAAGGTGCTTGCTTTGCACACTGCCACCCTAGGTTTGACTGCCGGCACCACCTGTGGTCCCCTGAGTGCTGCCTGGCATAACAGCTGATCATAGAGCTATAAGTAAGCCCTCTGTACAGCTGATGTGTCTTCACCAACCCTGATAAGAGAAAAAGAGATTTGGTGCTGAGTTTTCTTTCCCAAAGGACAAACAAAAATGACAGTTGAAACTTCCCCAAAGCTATCTAATTCCAAAGCCCTCACTTGTCACCTGACTAGTACAGACTGTAGTTGTCAAAGGAAAGAGGAAAAAAGGCAGTATAATAAAGTATGAAAGAAAAAACAAATGTAGTAGTAGCTAGTAGTAAGGGTCTGGGAATCTGTATTATTTTAATTCATCAAGTGACTGAAATATAGCTACTAGACAGGAATGTAGATATGTGAGTTGGAGCGATAGCACAGCAGGTAGGGTGTTTGCTTTGCACGTGGCCAGCCCGGCCAACCCAGGTTCGATTCCTCTGCCCCTCTTGGAGAGCCCGGCAAGCTACCGAGAGCATCTCACCCACACGGCAAAGCCTGGCAAGCTCCCTGTGACGTATTTAATATGCCAAACACAGTAACAAGTGTCATAATGATAATGTAGACTTGTGGGCCCACTTGAGCAAATCGATGAACAATGGGAGGACAGTGACAGTGACAGTGATGCAGATAGATATGCAGTTATCTCCAAAGAGGTAAGTGTGTATAGATATGTATTTCTTTTAACATACCTAATATTGTTAGCTATTCAAAAATATTTTTAAAGCAATCTCAACTTTAAGCAGCTCAACTAATTTGAGTTACCTAATTATATGCACATGCAACATATAACCTGAACTTCATAAGTGACAATTCATTGGTGTTTTTATAAAGCAATTACAATTTTAAAGCCTCTGAGCAGAAAGATATGTTCACGTTATCACATTTCATAAAACCTACAGTAACTGAACTTCTCTGGGTTACTGAGGGGTCTGGTGAGCTGCCTTGGCCCCGTGGTGCTGTTCAACAAAGGCAATGGCACAGGTGGGTGGCTTTATGAGATCTCTGGCCTATATGGCTGAGTTTTCCCCTCAGTTGAGTTATCTGGATTTTCAAAGTGGGTCAACTTGAGCTATTTCCCCAAGGAAGTTAATCTTCCACTAATTCTTCTATCAAATGACCCTTACATAGTATTTGATTTACTTATTTTGAGAGAAAGATGAAAGAAAAACCCTAATTTGAGAATTATACTCAAATTTTCCTAGCAATGATGAAGCAATAAATCTTTTTAAAAAAGGCCTATAATAGGATAAAGTATTGTATTGTGTCTTTCTACCATATATGTTAATCAATGGTTAATAACGAGCCAGTTTCATCAAGCTAAGGAGTTTTGTCATCATACCCACTGAAATGCGTGCCTTGCATAATGCCAGGCAGTGCAAGGGAATCAGAGAAAGATTTCTGATCCAGATGGCATTTTAGAGCATGATTCCTGAAATAATCATACTAAGGACAAAATATAAATGACAAACACTAAGAAGGAAAAGGGCTGACTGTTTAGAAAGTATATACATCAAGGAGAAGATGGGTGAATACATTGCAGAGTGAGAAAGTCCTTGTGGGACACATAAGTCTCAAACTTACAGATGAGAAGGGCAGGGTTAGAGGAGAAAAGCACGGCAAAAGCAGGAATGCAGGACAGTGACTGTTGAGTCCAAGGAGCTGCAAGATGACCTATGCAGGAATTTCAGGTTTATTATTGCTCCATTCTCCTCAGTACACTTTTGCAAATGACTTTCCTGAACCAACGATTGGTTTATTACTAAAATAGCAATAGCTATAAAGATCTGAGCAACCTGTGCCTTACACTTGCTTTTTTCTAAGACTAATCACATGTATTCTGCAAGAACAAAGCTAAGATCCATGTGCAAGCCTTGTCAAAGCTAAAGAAAGCTCACTGATGTGCATGACAAAATTCTATGTGTATGCACTCATCTGGATCATACTCTAAGTGCTAGGAACTAGCAGGCTGTGAATCTGCCTGCAGCAAGACTTCATAGATCAATCAATGGTTAGTGAATGAGCAGCTCAATTTTCAATTTTATATGACTATTCCCCTAACTCTTTCTCCCATCTGGATGCTATATCCTCTTCCTAAGATTTTAATGGTGAACAAGATAACAAACTGAAACCTTCAAAATGTGAATGCTTACTTTTATTTAAGAGCATTAATAGAAATGTTTTGCTAGAAGATGATTATTAAGTCATTATCTTATTCCTTGCTGTAACAACTTTCTATTCCAGTGACAAATCAGAGTCCCTGAACCTCTAACATAAATTTATTCTAAATCACACAAAACAGAGTTTGTGGAAATGGTCACTAAAAGCACTGCAGAGGGGCCAGAGTGATATAATGATGCACATGGATGACCCAGTTCTGATCCGTGGCATCCCATAGGGTTACCCAAGCTCAGCCAGGACTGATCCAAGAGAAGAGTGAGGAGTAGGCCCTGAGCACTGCCAAGTGACAGAAAAAGCACTGTAGAGTCGACAGCTTCAAACTGTTTCAAGTCCAGGTGCAAAACTCAGGAGACTCATATGATGACCCATTACAAAACCAAACATGTAGACTGGTTACCAAGACAAAAATACAGTATGGACAAAACTAGTCATTTGGAGCTAGTCCAAAACTTGTTCCTCAGCAGGACACAAGTGCAGATTCCTGCCCCCTAAGTTATGGCTCCATGCTGAGTGGGGCTTAGTCAACCAATATTTTTTAAATGATTTAACTAAGAACTTTCCCTCTGAGTAAAGGAAGAGAAAGAGGGAGGGATTCTGATTCATTAATGCAAACATTTTAGGAAGAGGTAACTAAGACAATTATTTAAAAAGGTGGGGAAGGAAAGCTGGTATTCATGCTTCTATTTTAGCTATGATTTGTGACTTCTAACTACAAGAGGAAAATAAAAAGTTATTATTGAGAAAAAGAGAGACAAGCAAGTATTAGGCATCTTCAGAAGGCCATGGCTATTCATAGGCAGGAGAGGATGAGGGTCTGCCCTGAAGAGAAATGAATACTCTCTTCATGCCAAGAATGGGCTTTCTACAGCCTGATGTGGCAGCCCACATCTACTAGCCTCAAATCAAGGAGGCAAAAATAAATATGAGATAGCTGGGTGGTTGGGAAAGAGTGAGGGGGAAGAGAATGAGAGAGAGAGAGAGAGAGAGAGAGAGAGAGAGAGAGAGAGATGATAGCTGATAGTTGGACAGACTGCCATTCCTTCAAACTAAAAATCAAGAAATCCATTTAACAAAAGCATTTTTCTAAGCAGGCAGAGGGCCATGAGAAGGGTGAGTCCTGTCACAATAAGAATTGTTGCTGGGCTAAGCAAATGCTGTGGAAAGAAGAGAGTACATTCTTTCCTTTTTCTCTCTGTCTCAAATCCCTTCTAAGAACTCAAGTCAGTCATAAGCATGAAGGCATATTTTGACCTCTTTCAATAATCTTCCAAACACTTGCACTTATTAGAGCTACTAAAATTTTGGCAACCTCTATTTTAAAATGCAGACAAGACACAGAAGTGACTTTATTTTCAAATTTTAATTTATTAATTTTGACAAAACCAAATGAAGATGTATCAGAGCAGCAGCATCTTCAGAAGGCCATGGCTATTCATAGGCAGGAGAGGATGCCTCTCCTGCCTATGGATGTCAGCTCCACCACAAATGGGGGGGTGACAATTATCCACATGTCACCTTGCACTGGTAGAGGGCTAGGTGGTGAATGGGGTTAAAGAGGTTGGAGGGGCTTTTAATAGTGTTAAATAGTTAATAGTTAAATCTGTTGTTACTAAGCAAGGAGTTCCCATAACAAATTCTGACATTTATTATCTTTATAATTTGTCATCTTTGAAGGCAGTTTCATTCTTTTTAAATTGAAGCAACACTGCATTATAACATTGTACAGGTTTCAGGTGGACATTATTAAAAGTCAATATTGGCATGTATTATATTTCAATCTTTCTCTGAAAAATGGTTCTAGCAGCTACAGTCTGAAAAAAAAAGCTTTGCTTCAAAGATAAGACTCTTGTCTGTCACCTTTAATAGCTATAATACCGAGGCAGTGTTAATAGCTTGTTCCAATTTTAAAAGTCTAGATCCCTTAAACCCCGCCACAAGTTTCTAAAAATTGAATATTTTGAGTCATAAAGATGAATGCCATTCTTTCTTTAATCAAGTATATTTCATTAAAATAGAACCTAAAAAGTCAAGAAGACTGCAACCTATCCTATAAATTATCATAGCCACTCTGCTTTTGAGAAGCACTGTACTCTATTTTTATTATATTCTTCATATTATTGTTCCTATTCATGGGTTCTTTTATTCAGAAGCCACAAACTGAAAAGAAGTAAACACATTTAAATCCTCATGCTTCCAGGAAATTTGCCCACAAATCTGGGAAATGTTCAGTTGTCATTTATGTAACTGCAAGTTGTCTTCTCTTTAACAAATACCAAGAGAGCCTGAAATAGACTGTATTTCCTCTTCTCCTAAAGCTCAGGAACTCGTGAAACTCAAAGACAAGACAATACTAATGTAGATGTAGCAGATGCCTAATAGGGTGAGTATGAAACCAAAACATAATAAGAGGGTAGAAAAAAAAACAACAAAAACACTTCAACTTTCTACCAAAAGGGCAAAGGAATCTTTGTGATATCAATGAGAAGGTGGAAAGGAAAAGGTGAGAGTAGAGGCTCCATCAGTAAAATAAGAGGCTATGACCACATCAACCATCACCTTTTTTCCCTCAACCTACACAAAAAGCTACCCATCAAGGTGGTTTGGACAGGCATTATGTCTTGGGAAAGCTCGTTGCCCTAAGTGTCAATCAGAGATGAGAATCTCACAAAGACAAAGATGAGCATGAGAAGTGGAAGAGCTACAAGTAAGAGAGAAAAAAACACTATACTTTCTACAAGTATCAATATTCTGTTATTATCCTGAAACATCACAAAGGTGCTCAATACTATGGCAAGGACTACATCCAGGCTCATCTACTGCTTCAACATTTAGTGAACCCCTAGAAAAGCGCCTCATACAGAGAAAACTTAATAAAGACTTCCTCAAGGTTTGGGGGCACGGGTGCAGAATGAGTTGAAGGAATGGATGTGGAACAAAGCGCAGATAAAGAGATTTATGGTCTTAGATTAAGAAAGAATATAGAGGAGAAAGCAAACACTCTAGAATGCCTATGTAATTTTAAAAAACTTTTTACGTTGTACATCTTCAGAATACATACTGCACAGCTGACCCACTTAGTTCTGGGCAGCATGATGACGAAACTATGACAAAAACATGCAGGCGGAGCTGATGTTCTTCTTCAAATGCTTCGGACTATCATCTGCCTAAAATCAAACTCTCCTTGTTCTTCAAATACATTTAAGTAATCCTATTAATAATGTGTTCTTTTATAGGTATTACTGAGGAGAACAAAGGCCATTTTTTTTAATGTTCCGAAATAGCTATGATAGAGCTTAAATCCAGTTTTGCCCATGAATGTACAAATGTCAATTTTTGGATTTTTACTGTAACTGAACTTCTGATGAGCTAAAGACCTTTTTTTCCTTTTTGAATATAAAACAACGATCACGATCACTACCATCCTTTGTTCGTCGATTGCCTCGAGCAGGCCCCAGTAACGTCTCCTTCGCCCTAGCCCTGAGATTTTTAAAAAGTGGCATATTCAAGGCTCTTTCAGAGTTAGGAGAATGAGACCCCTCATTGTTACTGGTATTTGGCATATTGGGCACGCCACGGGGAGTTTACCAGACTCTGCCATGTGGGCAGGCTACATTCGGTAGCTTGCCAGTCTGCCCAAAGTAGGAATGAGATAATAAGATGTCGCGCGGCCGCAAATATAAAACAACATTTTCAAATAATATTCAAGTTTTCAAGATTAGAGTGAAAAATATAAAACCTGTCCTACCTCCCTCTTCCACTTCTAATTTTTGGGTAAGTCTCCCAACTTCCCAAGCAGTGCTCAGGAGTCCCAGAAGCCTTATGAGCAATTCTCGGTCAGATGGGCCATTAGTTCGATGCAAAGACCTAAGGGTGCTTGGGCTTTGCCATGCTGGGGATACTCGGGTCACCTTAGTGGTACAGGAGGTCTCTAGGGCTGTAGCAGGAAATGTTTGAGGGTGCTAGGAATTAAACCTGGGTCAGGGTGCTTTGGCTGTACTATCTCCTGCTCCCCTATTCTCTTGTTTTTTTTTTTAAGTTCCAAGCCATTAGCTCTAGAGATCGAACACATCTTCCTTATGAAATTCTCTACATCTGTTCTAGCCAATTAAAAAATAGGACGTTGGAACCAGAGGGATAATACAGGGAATAAGGAATTTTCTTTGCACATGATCCATCTGGGCATGATCTCCAGCATCTTGTCCCCTGAACACTTTCAGGAGTAACTTGTGAGCACAGAAAAAGGAACAAGCCCTGAGCACTGCTGGGTATTGCCCAGAAAACAAACCAATTGACAAAAAATTATATCTAGGCATAGATTGTACTTCTAAGCACTGACATGAATATCACCCAGTGACTTCACATTGAACCATTTCTAAAAGATTAGGGACCCATGTTGGAAGAAGTTTCATCCTGATTAATAAAACAACAACAAAAACAAACAAACAAAAAATAAGATAAAGCCAAATGCTGGTGCAATTCCTCCTTACTGTCTTATAATTTTACAGTTTCTCATCCCCTGATACAGACACAATTGAACATTTCCACTTTTATAGCCCTAATTTCATGAGAGAAGAATTAAGATAAAAATCCAAAATTAAAGGGAATGCGGGAAAAAAACACCCACTACTTTTTCTTAATTCCCAATTCCTAGCTTCAATATCAAACTCATTTCTGTTAAATGCTAAAGTGATGTGTAAAGAAAAATACTTGCCAAGACAGAGGTATTTATTATACTCTAATCAGCTATGATGTTACAAATCTACAAATCTCTAACACTTTTGTTGAGAGACAGAAAATCAATCACAGCAGGTGGGATCCTTTGTAAATGGGTTTTTTCACACATAATGTTCCCAATCATAGCAGTTTGTGAGACCAGCTTCTCGGGTGCTCATATAGGCTCCATGATAGAAATATGTCCACACCATCTGAAGGCCACTGTTCCAGGGGTCTATGTAATATTTTGGAGTGAACAGAAAAGTGTTTTTATCTTCTCTTGGAAGTTCAGCTGGCAAAACTGCTCAGTAACATCACTCTTTTAGACCCCTAAGTCCTTCAAAGAACAAATCGACTTAAAAGAAAACCTATTTGCCTTACTATCTCCCTTCACTTATATCACTTATTCATCTCATTCTGTGCATAGCTATACCAATTATTGCTATAATAAGGGTCAATGTTGGAAAGAAAAAAGAGACACACACAAAATATCACCCATAACCTCATCTCTCCCAGAAGCCACCATTGTTCACTTTTTAAGGCTATCTCCTTCCAGACTCTATCCTATTGTGCTATTATACTAGCTAGAATTATGATGTATGTATGTTTTCCTTCCCCCAAGTCACTTCTGGATATAGATAGCAAAGCATTTTCCCTTAAAGGCTACATTTAATTTAAAGTTGTAAAATTTTGCAAGAAACCAGATTATGCAAAGACGATATTACATGCAAGGCATAACCAGATATTCAGGTATTGATAGATCTAGTATCTGATGATAACTAGAAATACTGCCCTAACAATAAGGGGATATTAGAAATTAGTTGATACAATTCAGTTCTGAATTACCTAGTGATAACTCTATGTACTAGATGTGAATCTTTCAAAATTTCCTTTCTATATTGCAGATGTCTTATATACTTCAATAAAGACAGATTTAGGAAGGGCTCCATTTAATTAAATCCTACTTAACATTTTGACATTAGTAAGTATAACTATTACCTACATATTATGGCTAACCATATTAATACTAGTATAAGGCATTCTTTCTCTTATACTAAATCTCTTACATATAGAAAACTTTAATTCATAAACAAGTTAAGCAAATCAGAAAGATCCTAAAGAACTAATTCTTTCAACATTAAGAAAAACAAATTCTATAAACATAGTTCATGTGGACCAATCAGCAAATCATTTATTTGTTCATCTATTCCATAAAGACATATTTATATATTATATTCCCAGTAAAATTAGTGACAAATATGTTCTTTTCACCAAGAATAAAAAGAATGAGGTATTTCTGTTAAATATGTACTATTACATATAAGCATTTGTGTCCACAAATAACTATAATAGATCTACTGGGTAATGGCTATTATTTGCAGTTAATTTAATTCAACAAGATGACAGTGTGCCCCACACCCCCTAGAAACACACACAGTATCTATTTTCATTTGTAAAGACCAGGACACAAAGTTATTCTGCTGCTGAGAAAATAGCTGCTAAGTATTCAAAAGCAAATTAAACTCTTAGGTTAACTAAATTCTTGAATATTTCTGCTACTAAAACTAATATAATTAAATATTATAAGCATAGACACAAAATGTGTATACATATATATTTACAGAGTACATTTTCATATATGTATGCATGTGTAAGTACATATATCACAATATAGATGTATTTTTTCAAAATATGTTAATTTTCCATGATGAATGCCTTATAAAACAATAAAAAATACATCGATCATTTTAAATCTAATGGCATGAATTTATCAATCTGGGCCAAGTTTTTAAAATATTTTCAGAATGTCTCCAAATATTTTTGCACATATATGGGCTGTTCAATAGCAAACCTAATTCACATTTACTTACGTTCCATGAAATAGGGCCCAGGCTCAATTCTCCATACAATCTGTCCTTTTTGTGTTCCAGTCACACCCCTGTTTTTAGAATCCCAGAAATTCGCTGGAGAATTCTCATCTGAAATAAAATTAAAATACACTTTTCAGTTGGGTGGTAAACTATTCTTCCCTTCTCAGTTGAAACATTTGTTTTAAAAAAAGAACTTTAAAAGAAATTTTTTTAAAAGTTAAAATTTTCAAGTAAACATTAGCTGGAAGATTAAAACATTTAAAAATTTAAAGTTTCAAAATAAGTAGGGAAAGGAAAAAGGAGAGGTTGGAGATATTAATGAACATTATTATTAACTGTGTTTCTATGCTTCACAATTGAGGAAGGATATTAACTATAATACTGAGTCAATATACTCCACCAATTTGCAAAAAGAGAGTTTAGGAGACCTACCAAGTCACCAGTTTGCTAGGAAAAGGAGAGAGAGAAGAGTAACCAGCAAGTCTAATAGTTACATTTTCTAATTTTTGTGAATTTATGTTTCCAAGAAAATGCTTAATATTAGTTAAACATTAGTTATATATACATGCATATCCCTCACCCTATGAATACCATTTTCTGCCATAACTTGACATGAATTGGGGTGGAAAACTAGCATAGGTACAATACAATATAAACAAGAGCTAGTGGATGATTTAAAAAGTGCTTAAGGAGAACAGAGGAGGAATGATTAGGTCCCTGTGACCCTGTAATTAATAAGGCTCCACATTGCTCATGGTTGGAGCATCTTCAGGAGATGCATATGAAGACAACCTTTGGAAGAGCTATAGTGTAAGTCCATAAGGCATCCATTCATGCTTTGGCTTCACTACCTAAAAAACTATTTTACGACCCATTGTTTATTATGGGGGATGAGTGGAAGAAGGGTCCCATAATTAATAAAAAAAATTTAAAAACGGTCTTAGAATTGATTTCAGTGGTAAGAATTACTCTTATTGCCTAAGGTCTAGCATGTTATACTTTTTTAAATTTACAAATGTAGAATTAATTATATAAATCTAGAAGGTGACAGAGTAATTTGAAAGTCTAATTCATTTTTAAATATTACTAAAAGGCAAAATAATGTCACTGTCACTGTCACTGTCCTCCTGTTGTTCATCGATTTGCTCGAGTGGGCCCAGTAACATTTGTGACAGTTGTTACAGTGTTTGGCATATCGAATATGTCACGGGTAGCTTGCCAGGCTTTGTCGTGCGGGCGAGATACTCTCGGTAGCTTGCCGGGCTCTCCGAGAGGGGTGGAGGAATCGAACCTGGCTCGGCTGGGCTGGTTGCACACAAGGCAAACGCCCTACCGCTGTGCTATCACTCCAGCCCAAAATAATGTATGAAGTTAAAATTATTGTTTTATATCTTCCTTCCTCATAATATCTTACAAAGAAATGTGAAAATGATCAAAATAATTACTATTTCCTATATATGGCTATAAATTTCAGAAAATGTTTTGTGGAGATATTTTTAAGATAATCAGATAACATATAGAAGAGATAACTAAATACTTTGAACATATCTATTCATAATTTGGATTTTAAAATATTTCCATTTACATTAATATTTCAAATCTCATAAGGTACTAGAGACAAGCAGGAAAAAAACAAGTTACTCAAAGTTCTCACTCTTCTATTAATCCAGAAGAGTTGAGGAAAGATGAAAAATTGCAACAGACAAATGATACATGACAGACCGCATTATGGAAAGGAAATATGACACAAATAGTTCCTTTCAAGTTTAAAAAAATCCTTTCTTAGATTATCTCCCCAAAACTGCATAAAAATCTCCATCAATATTATTTTTATTATTTCATTATTTTTTAATTAGTGACCTCCATCAATTTTAAATTACCTTTTGGATTCAAATTTAATATAACTACAACTGAGATTGTATTATAAAGTGTCCTACCTTTGTTTGGGATACAGTTGCAAATTAGATGCTCTATTCGGGATTTGGGATTTGGAGGGAGATATTACATTATAATTTGAATCAAAAAATATATATATTTTTCTTTTTGGGTCACACCGGTGATGCACAGGGGTTACTCCTGGGTCTGCACTCGGGAGTTACTCCTGGCAGTGCTCAGGGGACCATAAGGGATGCTGGGAATCGAGCCTGGGTCAGCCGCGTGCAAGGCAAATGCCCTACCCGTTGTGCTATCTCTCCAGCCCCCAAAATAAATATTTTAAACCTGAGAAAATGACACACCTTCCCAGGGACTGTTAAAATTTTGTAAATTTTCTATAAACATGTGGTAGGCAGGTTATGGAATCCCACAGCAGCTTGAGAGGAAAACTTTAATATTAACTCAGATCGTAAGTACACTGCAAAGAGGTGTCAGTTGTTGTTACTATGGGACAAACAATTCTAATCTTACTAAGATATTGATAATGACTAGGAAAATTCTCAGTAATTCAAAAACTAGGCATTAGTTTTTTACCCTTTTTCCCTAGATGCCCAATTCTTCACAGTTAAGTTCTCTATGGATGGAGAAAAGAAGTGCGAGAGTGTCAGGCATATTTATAAATTAAAATCATGATGCCATGATACACCAACTAAGAATGCACCTTCTATGGCATTATGGTCACATGAAAGGCCATTTTTTTCAGAAGATATTAAAAAAGCTTCGAGTATTATTTACCAGAGATGAGAAAGACACCACAAGATAGAAAAAGCCAGAGGAGCCCAGAGACAGAGAGAGAGAGAGAGAGAGAGAGAGAGAGAGAGAGAGAGAGAGAGAGAGAGAGAGAGAGAGAGAAAACAGGGTTTTGAATGTGGCTAAATTTTCACTTGTAAAGGCATCTTCCTCTTCTATACAGGAATCAACTCTTCTGTTTTCCATCTTCTCCAATTATAGAAGTGAAGGGGAAGATAAAATTCATTGAAACTTAATTCAGCAATTATTTACTGAGCATTATTCTCTCTCAAAAATATTCTAAAAGGCCAGAATTACAAGTTGTAATATGAAGTTCAAAGCCCCAGTCCTTCTGGAGATTTTGCTCTAGTGGGGACTGCGCTCAATAAGAAGTTACATAACCATGAAGCCAGGTAATTGTAAAGACAGAATGTAATGTCAGGTAGCAGTGTAGCTTGAAGACAATCAGCCATGGGGTAGTTCAGAGAGGCCATTGGAGAATATTTTATGTAAGCTGGTCAGTGAAACGTTTAAAGAGGAACCTGAGTGAAGTAAGAACATTTATCACAGGGAGATTGGGAAGAAAGGCAAAGAAACAAAACCGCCAAAATTCTTGTAAATCTATCATGTTCCAAATGTCATGTTTTAAGGAACAAACTGATGCATCCAGAGCAGAGTTTATAAGGCAGAGAGTGAGAAGAGAGGTCAGAGAAATAGGCAAAACCAGCTTGCAGAACAACACAACGATATAAAAATTTCACAGTTTACTATCTGCCAGATGCTATTTTACTATTTTGCCTTTACTAACTCATTACTGCCACTAATGACACTTTGAGATCAGTATTATTATGAGGTTTAAGAAGGAAGTGAAAATACAGAAAAGTTCAGAAGTTATTCCAAGATTCCCATAATAATTTTAGGACCTAAATGTGAACCCAGACACTCTTACTTCCAGAGACCATGTTCTTTAGCACTAGACCGCATTGCCTAAGACAAAAAGAACTTCAGATTCCATTATAAGGATAATGGAAAGTTTCTGAAGGACTGTGACATGATCTGCATTTACAAGAATCATTCTGGCTCCTTTATGCAGAGTGAAATGCAAAAGAGCAAGGGAGGATAAGTTGTGAGCTTCTTGCCTAGGCGCAGCATCAAGTGTTGGAGCATAACCTAAACATGACCCTCTTTCCAGCTCCATTTTTCCTGTGTAGACATAGCTGCAGTAGCTATAAATAGCCACCATGAGCACAAACTCCCATGCATCAATTCCAGACCCTTCAGCTCAGTGACCCTGTGAGGTGACTCATGCACTTCCACACTCTCTCCAGGTCAAACCACCCTCTGCAATTTCACTCTTTAATTCCAGCAGGGTCTTCTGCCCTCTTATTGTCCAAACAACTCATGAAGTCCAACTTCCACACACCGTTAGTCAATCAAAATAAAAAACTCCCATTTTCCATGATTTAGTAACTCAGTAAAGCCCAGGGTGCTCACTCTGCACTCTATTCACCCACAAAAAGATGCCTTAGGCTTTTAGAGATGAGTCATTTGTTATAGGTGTAAAGAGAGTGATGCACTGCTTAAAGATAATGCTGCCAGGCTACTGTCAGTAAGAGAGAACTTCTGATACAGTAGACCTAAGTTTAAATTATATTTCTCCTAGGTTTTGGACTTACAATCTTGGGCAAGTCTTACAATAGCGCAGATCTATTTCCTTATTTAAAAAAAAAATAATAGCAGTACCAAGTTCAGGAAGTTTAGGAAGTCCTGAGAGGTCACTTAAAACTTAAAATTACAATAAAATTACAGTATGTAAATCTGTCACATTTAAGAGGTCACTGTGCAGGCTTTACATTGTCTCAATCTTTTCCTTCTTTCAAAGGATACTCTCTTTTACTCTTGATATCTAAAACACAATTCTTTCACACATCATTTCTTTAGGTTTTACTTTTTAAAAAATACTTGAAGTAAAAGTTACATAAATACACACTAATTAAAACCAAAGTCTGCTTACCTATGTATTTGGAGACTATCTCTTAAACAATGGAGGCTAACTGGACAGGCAGTAAAAGTAAGTTTGTGTGTATAATGAGCCATATGTTAGGTCTATATACGCAGACTGGCCTCTAACATAAATAATCTCAAGTTTCTCTAGTTCTTGGATGAGAGACAACTTAAAACTTAAAATTCAGGGACTGGAGCAATAATACAGAAGGTTAGGCACCTGTCTTGCACATAGCTGGCCTGGGTTCAATCCCTATCACTCAATATGGTCCCCTAAGTCCACTAGGAGTGATCCTTGGAGTAAGCCCCTAACACTGCCAAGTGTGAGCCAAAAGTAAAAACCGGACAAAAACAAAACTCCTTAAAATTTAGTCAATGAACGTTAAGTTTGTTTTAATAAAGAACCAGATGTAGGTACCTTCATCTCCCTGTGCAATAGG